TTTACTATTATTAAAGGTTTCGAACACCTATATTTTGACTCATAGTCAGCTTTATAATTCAAAAATTTCAAATTGAGATGACAGTCGAAAGTGCTTGTAATTTATTTTTATAAGATTCGCTTCGCACGGGTTTAGTTTCGGATCTTGACAACATATGCATGTATTATGCATATCTCTTGAATACTTACTTACTTATCTTCACGCACAATCCCTAACGGGGTAGCCAGAGAGAACAGATCGCCAAGTGTCACGATCCTTACATACCTCTTTCGCTTCCTTCAGGTTCATTAACTTCTTCATACATGCACGTCTAGGTATCCGAGTACTCTTGACCCTCCCCTCTTCGAGCAATTTGCTCACATGGTCTTCGAAAGTTAGTCTCGGTCTACCTCGACACCTTTTAATATTTACTTTCGCTCTATATATTTTCTTCACCATTCGGTCTTCACTCATTCGTTCAACGTCCCTAAACCATTGGAGTACGCCCCTATCAATTTTTGTGATAAGGTCATCTTTCAATCCTGCCATATTGCGAATCTCTTCGTTTCGCTTTCGGTCGGCTAAGGTAACGCCACACATTTTACGAAGAGATCGCATCTCCACTGCATTCAACTTGCTTTTATGCTTCTTCTGGCATACCCAGGTTTCGCTGCCATATAACAAAGTCGGTACCAACACTGCATTATGTATTGCAAGGCGTGCACTCTTCACCACGCCTTGCCTTTTTTACTAATGCATTCAGGGCACCATTGACTTTGTTTCCGGCAGCGACACGCCTATCCACATCTAAATCACATCTTCCATCCCGGCTGAAAGCACTCCCCAAGTATACAATTTCATTTACCTGTTCTAGACCTCTTGAATCATTTTGTCTATTGCTGAAAACCGCATCAAAATCCATTGCGTAGTTTAAAAGATCTATGAGTACGGACGGCGGGAAGCGACTTTCTTTTGTACTATGTAGAGATATTTTGGAATTTAGTAAAAGCCGTATAAAACCGTCTAAAAATATTGCCACCTTACATTTACTTATGCGTCTCAACTCTCAATACATTATTGTTTCTTACCGACCGTCATTAGGGCTCATTAATCAATCGGTCGCAGCGCAGATACTGAATATAGAAAGCACATGTGCTTGAAACAAGTGGTCAGTCATTGGTACCCACATTAGAAAAAATGGGAATTTTAAAGACAAGGGTCATAAATATTGAATTTTAAGAATCACACCATTAATGTCACGGACGAAACAAAAAGTTAAAGCACATGCAATATAATAATAGGTCTTTACCTATGAAACTGCTGTTTTTTATGAAATAAGTTAACGTAACTTTTTTTCTGTATTTTTTATTTCTATTAATCAAAGTAATCACCCATGCAATCGATGCATCTTTGCCAACGCAGTGGCAGTTTATTGAAAAAAAAAAGAAGAAATAGGCAACAAATTCTTAGAAGGCATTTTGTACTTTCTCTCGGGTATTGAATTTTTTTCCTGCCAAAAGGTAATCCAAAGTCTGGAAAAAATAGTAGGTAGTCTCTCGGCGCAAGGTCTGGTGCGTACGGCGGAAGACGATATCATCAGCTTCCACAACCGCCTTTAATCGTCAATGTTGACCAAAGGTTTCGGACGACCACGGAACCCATTTTTCAGGTACAAATTTCTAGAACGAAATTTTCATTTGTAGTTACCTGTTCGTTCTGTAAATACCAAGGACCGAAATAGTGTTTTGAGTTCCGAAATAATGACAGAAAATATTTCTTTAGCTTTCCTTTTAAAATTTAAATCTCTTTAATTGTGTAAGACATTAAAAAAAATTGTCTCAAATTTGCCGTGCCAAAAATCTGCCGCCCTAGGTTCCGGCTTACTAGGCCTGCTGGTAAATCCTCCATTGGGTGGGCTCTTTAGGCCGCTCTGTATATACACTACGCTGCGAATAGGCGGCGTATGAGAATTCTACCTAATTACCTATACCATGATATATAGGGTATGTTCCGAAATACAACGCAGTGTACTGTCCAATGCAAATGACGTCATGAATCGACGCTATACTGGTGATTTGTTCCAATACATTGGACAGTATATGACGTCATACTTTTGCGCCATTAGGAAAAGTGTTGGCGATTATTTTGTCATTTTGTGCTCCAAAAATCATTATATCCTACTAATGGATATACCATCAATTATTCTATAATTTTTTGTATTTGAATAAATAGAAACAAATTCTGGCATGCTTCATTCGGCAAACACACAATTAAAGATTGTTTTATTATGGCCGGATATCCGACACAATATGGCGGCGGCACGCTAAGTGTCAAATGATACGTCATTTGCATTGGACAGTACACTGCGTTGTATTTCGGAACATACCCATAGTTCCATGGTTGTCGTAAGAGGCGACAGAGAAATTGAAATAGTACGTCTCTTCTTTCAATTTCTCTGTCGACAAGCAAGCAGCATCTTCCTCATACGAGATACTCCTAACAATGGTCATAGTAACTCGCATGTCAAGCGTGGTCCTATGACAAAATCCCACTACGAGGCAATAAATACCATGTAGAGAAAATATTTGCTATATTAGGAAGCTTTTGTTATGCAGTGGAGTATATTAGGTTGTATTAAATATTTTTTTTATAGAATAAGGGTGACAAACGGGCACACAGTCCGCCTGATGGTAAGTGGATGCTGTGGTCCATAGACATTTATCCTCCAGTAAGAATCGAAATGCAGTTGCGTTGTCTCCCCTGAGGACTAAGAAGAATACCTCGTTTCCAGTAAAAAAGGTCCAGACCTGTAAACTCACCATACGAAACACAGCAGTATTAAGCTGCTATTTTACGTTGGTATTCTGTGAGAGCATGGTCCTGCCCCGGTCGAGCCGTCACATTCGTGCTACAACCATAGGTAGTAACTGCAGCGTGGATCTACCACGATAAAATAATGCATGAATAATTTTATGATATTGTACGTGGCTGAACTCCTAGATTTTGATGGAATTTTGTGTGCGTGAATATGTTGATTCGATAATAGTTTAGATTCATTAGACCGGGTTACCACGTGCTCGGTGGTGAAGGAAAACATCGTGAGGAAACTTGCATGTCTGAGGAATAAGAAAAAAAATAGTTCGAAGACATGTGAAGTTCGCCAACACGCATTGGGGCAGCGCGGCGGACACTTCCTTGCTCTAAAACTCTCTCAGAAATAAGGGGAGGCCTGTGCCAAGCAGTGGAACGTATATAGACTGTAACTTTACTTTAGACCGGGTAGGTAGCGCTGTTGGTGAGATCCAAAAATCACTCGTGCGAAGCCGGGGCGGGTCAGTATTATTATTAAAATATTACAAGGTCGTAAGATTTATTTTCTGCATAGAGTCCGTTTAGTTAGGTATTACCGTATTATCGATTTGTGCCGCCAAATAGTATTGATTGCAATGTTGAGTTCCGGTCTGAAGAGTATAGAGAGCCAGTTGTACAGGCTGGTGAATAATTCCATCTTAATCCTCTAGAGGTAACAACGCATCAGTAGAGTTCTTTCTTTGAAGTTAATGGTGGCAGGTGTTCATGTACTGCACTACTAGCCACTTACCATCAGGTGGACTGTCATTTTAATTTCATGAAAAAAATAATTTAAAATACCTACTTTGCGTTTGGAAAAATAGAAACAAGTATTTTAGACATGTACGTTGGACCAATGAAACGGCACGACTTAAGCATTTCAAATAAGCGAGCAGTAAAAATTTGCTCTGTGGGTGCCATTGTTTTTTTTTATTTCTGCAACGTTACGTGAGGTCTTGGTGAGGCGACGAAATCTTAATTATATACATTGTAGTATTCGTATTTGTAAAAACCTAACCTAAGTTTTTGTTATTCGTTATTGTTAGTGTTAGGAGATGTTATGTGTGTAGCACATTTTAATACTTTAATGACTTAATTTGATGACTTAAATGGTCAATGAGTAAGACTTTTTACGTGTTTCTACGTGTAAGCCATGCTGCAGTTATATTAGTAGTATAGTTGTAGCACAAATGGGTCGGCTCGACCGGGGAAGGACCACTCTCTCACATAATACCAGCGTAAAATAGTAGCTTAATGTTGCTGTGTTTCGTATGGTGAGTGTACAGAACCGGACACCCTTTTTGCTGGAAACGAGGCATTCCATCTTAATCCTCACGGGTGACAACGCATCTGCACTTTGATTCGTAATCGAGGATAGATGTAGATGTCTATGGGCCACAGCATCCACTTACCATTAGGTGGAATGTGTGCTCGTTTGTCACCCTATCCTATCATTTTTTTTATCGGAAACGTCTTTGACGACTTCAATGTTTCTTGTGTTTGTATAGAAACTGTTTTATTTTTCTAGCTTACTGTGACCATGAGATATTCCGTTTCAGTTTCACAGATGAAAAAGCATTTCTGAATCCTTTTTTATTAAATCACTTTCTTCGCTGTTTGTTTATGATTTCAGACTAATTTACCGACGAATTAAACACTTTATAAGGTACATGAGGATAATATCGTCACCTTAAGGTTTGCCGTCGTATAAAATCAAAACTAGGAGGAGGAGAGACAAAAACAAAGTCGTATACTATAACTAATATATCAATAAAAAGTAGCAAACAAGCCTTGGCAATAATTAAAAACAATAAAAACTAACTAATGTAGTTATACTAAAATCGACTAAAATATTTACTACAAATCAACTGTTAAAATAGCTTCGTTAAAGCAGCGTTCTTTTGACCCTTTATTATTTGATTGAATGATGAAGAGCTATCATAATATCACAGATTCATCCATGCAAACAAGGCTGGTCTTTGAGTTATAAGAAAGAGACCATATTAACCGGACGATCATATTACCCTCACGTACTATACTTAAACGAGGAAACGTAGTAAAAATGATCGCTATTGATGAATAAAAATTATTGTTTGAAGGTGGTTATTCCTTTACCGTTCAATATTTTCAAAACAAAACATTATTATAAAGGAGTTTTTTTTGTTTTTCAGTGAAATGCTTGTGCCAGCTCAATATGTCGGTCCGCAAGGAGGCTTGCCGCAGTCATTCCTGCCGAATGCTTACTACCATAAGCTGCAAGATGCGTCACATTACCTACATGGAGGTGCATCTTAAACCAATGACATTTTATCACTGAATATGTTCTGGTGATGAGTAATAATATTAGTTCCTTAGCGGCCAAATACCTACATTTACTAAATTATTTTGTATTTAGCTATTCATAGAACTCTAAATGTTTAATAAGATTCTCTATTAATATTAATAGCTACTTCATTACGAAGCTAAGGTCTTTTCCATAGCAATGTATATTGTACTGACCATAGAGTAGAGTAATATGACCGGTCCGTACCGTAGATAACATGTAAGACTTGTCTCCGTTGCATAGAGATATAATACCTATGGAGGCGGCGTATTCTACTATAGAAATAATGGTTATACAGATATCTATAATATCGACACACACTTGTCAAAAATACTTTTGTTTCTTTTTAACAAAGCAGTAGCTTCATTAGAAAAGGGAGACAACAACAGTTTGTCAATTGCTTATTTAGACAACACTTTCGTGTGATGTCATTGGCTCATCCATGCGTGACTGCGTCGCCATGTTAAGCGCTGAGTTTTGTGGTAGATCTGCTGTCAAACTGTTGAATCCTAAAAGTTTTTTGTTGTGTATACTTCTAAGTCTACTCTTATTAGTTTTTGTTCTGTCAGTGCTCCGTTGAGACTATTATTCTACTCTATGGTTGAGACTGGCTGCCGATGAAGATTGAGAGAGAATGCGAAGGAGAATTTACGTTCGATTTGTTGTCTCCTTCTATGTAGAAATACGATAGGTCTACCAACGGCACAGAATAGTAAAAATATGGTCAGTTTTTGATTAATTATTTCTGATTCGATTAAAGGAAAGAAACTTGTCGATTAATCGCATCATATATTTCTTCATTTTAAAAACTGGTTAGTTTTTAACAAAGACAATATAAAAAATCTTGAAGCTAAAATCAATTTCTTTATGCCTAGTATACTGGCTGATTTTTTTACCATCTGGAAAAAATATGATGTATCAGGTGAACGGAACTAAAAGCCTATGGTACTGACATTTTAATTTTTTATTTTTATTTTAGATTAACATATTATGAAATTGATCTTTCAATAAATATTACTAATTGGGTACGTATTATGTTAACTTCGATAGTTTTTAATCGATTTATTTATCACGTTCGAAAATGTTGTTGTAATTGTTTAGTACCGAAGGTTTATTTCAAATTAGTAATATTTGATAGATCAATTTCATAATATGTTTCATCATCATCATCATCATCATTACAGCCCTTCACAAGTTCACTGCTGAATATAGGCCTCCCCCAAGTAATGCCACAAAGCATGGTCCTGAGCCACCTGCATCCATCGACTTCCTGCATGTCTTACCAGGTCGTCACTCTATCTAGTGGGGGGTCGCCCTACACTACGCCTACCGGTACGAGGCTGCCACTCGAGAACCTTTCTTCCCACGAAGGACCACGTCTCAGATCCGTAAGTCATCACTGGCAACACGCACTGGTTATACACTTTAGTTTTCAGAGATTGAGGTATACCTGACGAGAAGATGTGTCGTAATTTCCGAACGCTGCCCAGCCGAGTTGAATCCGTCGATTGACCTCTCGGTCGAAGTTGGACTTACCTAGTCGGACTATTTGTCCCAGGTAAACGTACTCGTCAACAACTTCGAGTATAGTGCTCCCAACAACTACCGGCATAGGTGTGACATGGACATTAAACATGATCTTTGTTTTGTCCATGTTCATCTTAAGACCTATCCGTTGGGAGACACCATTGAGGTCATTGAGCATAGTGCTAAGGTCCTCCAGCGATTCTGCCATAACGACTATATCGTCGGCAAATCGAAGGTGAGTGATGTACTCGCCATTGATGTTAATACCGTATCCTTTCCAGTCCAGTAGCTTGAAAACGTCTTGCAACGCAGAGTTATAAAAAATAAAAATAAAAGATTGTAAAATATCGGTGCCTTAGGCTTTTATTTCGTTTTATCTGTTACACCCTATTTTTGTCTAGGCGGTAAAAAATATCACCCAGTATATGCCCCCTATTTTTGTTATTGGTCTAACCATTATATTTTTCTTTCATGTAAAAACTTATTGTTTCATATAGGATGTGATTTATTGTTAAGAATCAATTTTTAAATATTATAATAATATCATAAAACTACATATAGGTACTTATATCTAGCGTATTCGCCGATTTCTCATTACATATTATTAATCGCAAAATTAGTTTCCTATTAATGTGTTGTGATATTTAGTTTAGATGTACTTATGTAATTTATATTTTTAGTAAAATACATTAAAATAAAGATAAAAGTTGTATAAAATACATGAAATGAATTAAATGAAATGAAATGAAATTAAATGAATGATTTTTATTCAATAAGTATATATTATTGTATAATACTTATCTTATTGAAAGCCATTTTTTATTTACCACTGATTCGAAAAAAAAAACTCTGTCCTGGGAAGAACCAGCAAGAAACCCAGCGAGACTTTTTTTTAAACATAAGTATTTCAATTTAGCATAAATTTATTTTGTACGATTTTCGAATGAATTTTCATAAAATCAGCATGGTGGCGATCCCCTCATACCCAGGGGTTCTTTTCATTTATGTATTTTTTTATATTATAATAACCCTTTTTGCACAATTTTTCTTTTATAAAAAATTTAAACTTGATTAATGACAATTTTTGTTCATTTATGTACTTACAAATTATGTACTTTTATGGATGCTGCATGTTAACTTATAATGTAAAATGTAGGTTAAATTTAAAAAACTCGGGAGCATGCTGTACAAGTTGTGCATATCTCAGAATCCGGATTGATAAAGAAAAACAGACGGAGCCCTGCTTATATTTCAAGTTACGCAAAAACCAAGCCAAAGCCATGCTAACTTAGTGTAAGAACACGCATTCACGTACACATATGCATCTAAAATCATTTGCAACCAACAATAGGGTTTTATGTGCATATATGTTCGTCCAGAAGCCAACTTTTACGGTCTGACAAAGATAGAAAGAAGAAAGATGTGTTCGTGAGTGTGTATGTTGCAAGAAGTTGAGCGCAGTTTCGACATCACTTGAAATGTACGCTGCGTTCCGTCTATCTTTTTTGTTGATCTGATGTTCATAGTGAATTTTTATTTTTTTAATTCTAATGTATCTTTTATAATACAGTCTTTCTAATATTTTGATATATATAAGAAATTTTAAAAATTCTAAAAATGTCATAAGTATATACAAAGTATATTCTTAAAGTTTTGACCACATGTATATTGTTGATACAATGGTAGTATCTTATGTATCTTAAGTATCTTAAACAAATTCAAGAAACTTTCATAGATTTAGCAATTATCTGCTAATATTTTGTAATAAAGCCATGCTGCAGTTATAGTAGTAGTATAGTTGTAAACCGAATGTGTCAGCCCTACCGAGGAAGGACCACGCTCTCACAGGATACCAGCGTAAAAACGTAGCGTAATGCTGCTGTGCTTCATATGGTGAGTGTAAAGAACTGGAGACCCTTTTTACCGGAAACAAGGCATTCCATCTTAGTCCTCACGAGCGACCAAATCTCTATGGATGCTGAATGATGCTATAGGCCATCATTTAGTATCCAGAGCAACCTTATTTCTATCTCTATTTCTGTAAGTAAGCTAAGGACACAAGTGCATGACACTACCAGTTTACAACAAAACGCATTTTTTTGGTATCGGGCTTAAACTTGAGTCTTTTTCTCGAAAAGGTCCCTTAGACGCGGCGCGGCTCTACAGTTAGACATTTGCTTTCAAATTCTGTACTTTAAATTTCAGTTCCCTTATTTTTCTGGGGGTAATCTGTGTTACCCCCAAGGGGGTAACACAGATTACCCCCGGAGTAATCCGTTCAGTGCGCCCATTTGTTATAGTTATTCTATTTCACAATGAAGTTTTGAATTTGGTTGTAGTTAGCCGTGCACATACACATTGTGTTAGTGTGCGTAGGCCGCTGGAGCGCTCAGTCACGATCGCGAGTCGAACGAATCGCAGTTACGCACACAAACGCGCCTGTCGGTTCATGCCACTTTTACGAGTATTGTACAAGGCGAAACCTTCATCGTGAAATAGAATAACCAATGTATCCGAAACAAGAGTCCCTAAATGCGAAAGACGAAGTAAATCGTTTAGTTCGAATAGGTTTGGTTGCGGACCAAATCATTTCATCACATCAATTATCGGCATACGATTTAGCATTCGTTTGAAACAATATTCTTTATGAAATATTATATGTGCCGCGTTACACAGAAAATAAGTAATATTAATGTATACTTAAGAGTAGAAGTTACAGTAACAGGGGTAATTTGTTAAGGATACGGACCGCAAACTTAAAAAGTCGTGGGCTCGATTCCTCCATTCGACTACTGTCGTGAACTTCTAATACAAGATTTTTAAGTTCACTTGGATTATTTGAAAGCCATATTAGTAATTATGATAGCGTTGACAGTTCTTTTGAATAAAGTAAAAGAAATTAAAAAGAAACTTATATGTAGTTTTTACCGCTTTATCTTTTTTTTGTATTATCTAAGGTGACCGAGGGTTTCTTTCTATTAAGAATTTATTGTCATATCTCTGTAAATATGATGGTGCTCCTATGTTACAAATCATTATCTAGTCTACAGATGTATTAAAATATTATATAAAATTCAGTTGTTTTATTTTAAGGATGATATTATATTACTTATATTCTTAAGGCCGATTTTTTATTCATCAGGTAAAAGTAGTCCATTAAATAAACATGACTGAATAGACAACTGTATTTTTTTAATTCAATTGTTATTGTTTATTTCTTTAGGTTGTAGTTTATTCTATGAATAAATGTGGCAGTGCTAAGCTAGCTATATTCTCAGATGAAGTAAAAAAAGGTAGATACAGCGCGGCATTTGTCATTGTTGAAGCCAAAAAACTCCGCTCTTTATGTAAGCACATGCGTTCACGCACACACGTGCATCAAACTATGCTCATTTTCGCTCAGTACTTCCCAGGGCGTCGTGCAATAAATTTGCCTATAAAATGC